TGATACAAATATATTTCTAACAAAAAGAGCAAGACCCTCACGAATGTCCATGTGATGCGCCACGTACCCGTACACCACTTCAGGATTGTAGAGCTATTTGGCTTGGACATTGGTGAGAGCGAGAGAAAGCTGAGGGCTGCATAGTTTACGTTTTTTGCAATGGAAAAGTTTTGAAATCCGCTCAATCTAGAGGGCCACACGGCTCGGCTACCTCTCACGGAATTCGATCTTGCAAACAGCGGAAGCATAAATGACACCTCCATTCGCTGTGTGATCTCAACCACATTGGACTTATGAAGTGGGAATGTGGTTTAAGGACAAAATATGCGGCGAAATTGATTTTCTTGCGAGGAAAACTTGGGTACAGAAGGGGGTAAAGAAAGATCCGAATGGACGACAAGTCGTATTCTCGCAGCAGAAAACGCCCCATCAGTAAAGTTAGGAAGGTAGAGAAAAGTATCCAATGGAATCCAGACATACCGTACCCCAGTATGTGTGAATTCAGTTTGTTGCGTGATTTTCTTCTCAGGGGTGCCTCTCACCTAAAGCCGCTTCACCTTCAATCTGCTGATTTTATCAATCATTTTTTACGGTTATTATTTTGTACAGTACGAGTCCATTATTATAACGATAACATGTAAAATAACTACTAATAGTAAGCTTAGAAAAGAAAAGTTGTTGCAACAGCCACCGAAGCGCCAACAATCGTGCTAAACTCGCCCGAATTTGATTGACATCAGTGGGAAAAAAGAGGGTACCCCTCGCCGCGTTTTTTTACCATTTTGCCTGGTTTTTTCATAAACGTACTACTTGGCACATCTACATCCACATTTCAGCGATATCAGCTGTCGCGAGTTTTGTCTTCTAGCACAAGAAGTACAGAACGACATCTAAAATACCTTTTTTTTCAGAAGCCTAGAAAAATACCCTCCCGGAAAGAGCTTCATCGTAAAAACCATAGAAAATAAATGAGCTTCCTATCTTGCCTTTTGTTTTAGTTGATATGGCATCTCAATAATACACTTTAGCTTTTTTACACTAAAAAACCAATCGGTACCTAGTTTTACACGTAAAACAATAGAATTCCGCCACTTTCAGACGTGGAAATCGTCACATTTGGAAACGACTGGAAAGCCGCTTCTACTCATGGAACCCCGCAACGAGCGCTCAATTTCGCCGCCAAGACCGCTGGTCGTGGAGATTTGACGGAGCAGAGTTCACCACGAGTTGGAGCCGCCTTCAAACCATCTTGTCCTTTGATCGACTGCACTTTTGATGACAATGTAAGTTCAACATTCACAATAATATAATCAAGCCTACGGAGACTAACAGTTGAATCCTGGCAAAAGTAGAGCAGCGAAGTCGCGATCCAGCCGCAACTACACCGGGGCATGAACATATCAAATAAACACTGCCAGTTCCTATTTGAAGACAGTCCACGTTTCAAAATGGCCCCTACACAAAGCCCATTTATGGTACCAGACGGTCAAGAGGTCTACCGCGTGGCGAACGGGTCATCGCAACAGACATCAGGCTCTTGGCTTTTCTAACAGAGAATACCGGGACCACATTCGCCCACGTTTTGATATCAAATGGGGAACACCTCTTATTAGTCTTTTCTCTTCCTTTCCTACTTATTCCCTTGCCAGAAGAGCTACGATTTGGCCCCTGTACATGAGAAAAAACCTCAAAAGCGAAAAAAGAAGGGCAATTAATCGAACTTGGATTTCTGAATACACTATTTAACGGAATTTGTCGTAAACGACCACAAAATAACTGATTCGAAGTTCAAGTGATACAGTGGGCTCAAATAACTTGCCACAAACGTCCCCATCAGCCCCAATACACATAAGTTGGTCCCAGCCAGAGCTCGCAGAGGGCTTACATAATACGTCACCTTTTTTTGACTCGGGCTAAATGTACATTGGAATGAGGCACATTGGTGCAGGCTTATTAGCTTATTTGCAGCTCATCTACTCATTTTGAAACCATAGCAAACACTTTCTGATATGTACATTGGAAAAAGTGAAACTCACCCATATTACCTAGTTACTTATTGCATGACGAGATTAGTTAATCCTCTATTTTTGCATGAGCAGGCTAGCCAAGATTTCGCGGAGAGAGCCATCCCCACGTCTCCCCGCGAAAACTGGGATTACTGTAGGAGGTGCGAACTATTCCACTGCAGTAATCCCGCTCTCTTCTTTCCTCCTCCTCGGCAAACTATACCTGCCCCTAACCCCAGGGCGCACTTCTGCAACATCTCAGCCTTTCCACTAACACCATGGTAAACTTCAGAAGCTAAGACTACGCCTCCTCTCCTTCAATCATCCTTTACTCGAAATTTTGTTCCACTTCTTAATCACTTTTATACCATCTTATGTTTCTTGCCATCGGGCACTTTCCAGCCCAAAGCCTCTCCTCTATTTATTACCGGAAGATCACTTTGAGAAATGTTCCGCCAATTTTACCTCTACTTTTGTGAGATCACATGTTATATTTTCTTTCCCTTCCCACATGTACTGCACGATTTCAAAATGTGTTACCAGAAATATCATCGGGTAGCAGAGTGGAAATTTCGGTTCATTTACAAGGGCAATCATTCTTCTTCCACTTCCTCATGGTATTTTTACCAAAATTCCTTGACATCTGCTCATAAAATGGAGAATGGAGGAGGAGTTCGGTTAATTTAAACTCTGCAACCACCGAAAATTTTCTCACTATGAAATTCAGACAACTTGTTTGCAAACTACTTGACACGAATGTTAGCGAACCGACAAAGTGATGCATGCTCTTCGGGGAGTGGCGATGTCTTCGGCCTGCGTAATGAACTCGCTTACCGGAGTACCTCATGATCTCACAAAAAGTCAGTTATTCATCGCGAGCTTCACCTTTATTTACACCTATGGGACTCTTTTCAGCTGGCTCGTTCATCTACGCTGGTGGCACTACCGTCTCCCCAGAAGATACATTTATCCTGTCCACTAAACTACCGGTAGAATTGAAAGAAGCCGCTCGTCTGGACTTTTTCGTCTATCAAGCAGGTACCGGTGCAGATCTTTGTGTGTTAATCTAGAAAGGGCAGCATGTACTCCTCCAGGGATAAAAGGGCGTCCTACAAGTATGTCTTAACACCATCAACAACTGTGCACTCAACATAAAAGGAAGCACTATCGATAACAGGGCTCGAAAATGGAAGAACTATCATGTTCCGTTGACGAACAAGCAAACAATTCGGTGAGTTCGGGTGTCCCCCAACAGGCCCACCGCGCGGCGAAGCAAGAGACGCAGATGCGGCAAAGAGACGAGTTGCAGCGCGTGCTGTGCGATATGAGACGTAGTATGGTACACTCTCTTTAACCTGACGCCTAACCGCTACAGTATGCGCTGCGACTCGTCCTTTGCCGCGTCTGCGTCTCTTCCTTCGCCGCGCGATGGGCCTCTTGGGGGACACCCGTGTTCAATAGCCACTACCGTCTCAGAGTTCACCTACACAAGGGAGGTCGTTCAGGGTGTGCCAAGCTTTTTCAAAATGGTTTCTTGCATGACATTGGGGCACATATGGGGACCACAGAAGCATGGTTCATTTTTCCTGAACGGCTCTCTGAATACCAGAAAAGGGGTCCCTAGTTCGATTCCTCGTGGTGACAAATTTTTGCATTTCGAGTTGACGTTTCCAAAATTCGCGCAAAATGGAGTTAGCATGAATAATTAGTACCAAATTCATGATTAGGACCGTCAGTAACCCTTACAAATAGACTTTGATTGAAAAACTGGTGAAAAAGTGTGTGACTAGGGACCCCCTTTTCTGGTATTCAGAGGGCCGTTCAGGAAAAATTAACCATGGTTCTGTGGTTCCCGCATGTGCCCCTATATCATGCAAAAGACCGTTTTGAAAAAGCTTGGCACACCCCTGAAAGACCTTCCTGGTAAGGATCAGCATCCCACGAAAGGAAAAGGCAACCATGAAACGGAGTGTACGACCGAGAATCTTCGACGAGAGGGGTCGTATTAGCTACGATGGGAGGAATTGGGCCGTAACGGGCGAAATAGGGTCGCGTTTTCCGAGAAACATGTGCAGGAGAAATTTTGAGATAGTGGAAAGTTTTGAGATAAAGAATTACGGCGAAATTAAGGATTATAGAATTGGCCTTATCCCACTCGCCACGTACTGGAAGAAGTTGGCATTTACCTTCCCGCACTACTGGAATTTTAGAAGTGGAATGGGAAGGGGTGGGTCAGCTTATAAGGAACTGCTGGACCATCAACTATCATAATGTGGGGGGGGGGGACGTTGTAGGCAAAGAGTGAGCGTGGGTCGTATTGGACAAAACTTTTGTAAGGTGGTTCACCTTGTTTTGGAAATTCTAAGAGTTCGGAGGCGTGCGCGCTAAAGAGCTTCAAAAGTAAGCATGGAGTGTCCTAGCCTTGTTCTTTTTCTACCATTTTGTTAGGCAAAGCATTCAGTTTCTACCCAGAATCAAAAAAGAAGTTATTGAGATTCAGGATACCCCACTTGGGAAAGAGAAATCGATGTTTGGCTCCTAGTTGTAGTCCAGTTTACCAATAACGTATCAATTTAAATAAAATGATAGAGCTCATGGCTAAACCAAGAGATCAAGAAGGGGACGTTCAGGCTAGGTTAGACCACTGGGATTCGATCAATGGACCTGTAGTGACAAAGGTTCCTTTTCACAGCGCCACTCCTTTCTTCAACCACATAAGAAGCACAATTATTATTTAGATCCACTTCGTAGCCGACGAACTACAAGACAACTACGCCATCGGACTGGACCACATCCAGTTGCTTAACAAACACGGAATGGCTGCTCAGCCTTGCAGATGATACTAAATTCGAGAAATCTTATAAATACCTCCTAGAACAATTTTCTTCTTCACTCCAACCTTTTTTTATTAGCTTCATAAAACAAATCGAGCGAAGTCAATAGCCAAGATTTACGTACGTTTAACACGTTGACGACATCGCGCGTTTTGTGCTTTTGCACCGCGTGGGACCAGAGCGATTTTGCGAGCGCCGCCGCCGCACACCAAATCCATGGATTTTGAGCTGTAAATACGCAATACTTAGATGCGATGAAATGTTTTCAATGATGTTCGATCTGTCTAACTTATCAGGAGTTACAGTAAT